AAAGTCGTCTGTGGGCGCCCAGGCCGTAGGGGTTCGGGCGGCAGGTGGACGCTGATGGAACTCGCGTCCCAGAAGCCGTGGTTCTTTTTCTCTCTCACTCTTCTCTCTCGTTTTCTTCATGCCTTGCTCCCTGCTTCTTGCACCAGGAGGCCGCGGTCCCTGGGACACCAGCCCCAGCACTGATGCCCGGGCCGTCTCTCCTGTTTGATGTGATTCTAAGTTTCTCCTCAGCGATGTGCTTCTCACAAGCAAGGTTTGAGCGTTTGCACTGAGACCCTCCTCAGTGCCTCTGGTTGCAGATCCAACTGTCTTTTCTGATGGTTTATAAACTCTCGTGTTGACAGAAGTCAGAAAATGCCTCTCTCTTATTGAGAGAGGAAGCAGCCTGGGGCAGGGTGGGCGGGGCCCTGACAGCAGAGGAGTCTCAGAGTTTCAGCCGGTGTTTTCCAGATAAAAAAAAATAAAAACAGCAGCTGACATTCGCTGAGCCCTGCGCTGTGTCAGGCAGTCGCCAAGAGCTCTGCCTCCTCTAATCCTCATGGCAAACTCATGAAGTCAGGACCGTTAGCCCATTTTACAGATGAGGAACCTGAGGTATGGGGGACTGGTAGGGGGGAACTCGCCTGGGGTCACACAGCCAGGAGGTGGCAGAGCGAGGATTCTCTGACTCCAGGGCTCACGTGAGATGAAGAGGAAGGAGGGGGCATTTCCATCCGAGGGAGCAGGCTGTGCAGATACCCCACGGGGCCTGGGAGACTAGAGACAGCGGGTGTCGCTGTCCAGGAGGAAGTGCCTCAGGGAAGGGCAGCGACTAGGATCTGAAGGTGAAAAGGTAGAAAGAAGCCAGGGATTGCCAGGCCTTGAGTGCCCCACCCAGGGGTTCCAGTCTGCTGTTGTAGGCGATGGAATGGACAGGAATCTAGTCTCATTTACTGCTGAGTCACCCTGGACACGTTTAATCTCTCTGGGGCTGGGCAGCCGATGGGCACCGGCTGGAGGGAGGGTACAGTCCAGGAGGGAGGTGGTGGGTCCAGCCTTAAGGGGACAGCGGATGCGGGCACCCAGAAGGCTGTCCTACACCCAGGCCTGCAGCTTCCGGACGCTCTGGGGCAGGATGTTTGTCCAGGAGCCTCGGAGGTGGGTGTGCCGGGGAGAGGCATGGGGTGTCTGAGCCGGGGAAAGCAGAGCAGCCAGGGCGCCCTCCCTTCACCGCCCCTTCCTTGACCGGGCTGCCCAGACATTGTGGACATCAAGCCAGCCAACATGGAGGACCTCACAGAGGTGATCACCGCGTCCGAATTCCATCCGCACCACTGCAACCTCTTCGTCTACAGCAGCAGCAAGGGCTCCCTGCGCCTCTGTGACATGCGGGCAGCTGCCCTGTGCGACAAGCACTCCAAACGTAAGTGCACCCACTGGCCAGGGTTAGCGCAGCGGGTGGGCGTGGGCAGGGCTGATCCTGATGCTGCAGCCTCAGGAGGATGGACAGGGCATGAGGCTGTTCTGGATGGACTGGGGGTGGGCTCAGTACTGCTTTAGGGCTGTTGACAGGGGGAACTTGGTCCTGCCCCTCACTGCCCACACCCCAAGTCCCCGCACACATCAAGACTGTCCAGCTTCCAGCGGTCAGGCAGCTCAGGCGAGAGCCAGGGAGTGCGCTGGGCACTGGAAGCCAAGGAGGGACCACATTCATTGGTCGCCTCCTTCAGGAAGCCCTCGCTGACCCCCACACTGGACCAGGTCCCTCCTCTGTGCTCCCGGAGCCCCCAGCACTTCCCTCTCACAGACTGGCCGCACCCTGTGGAGCTTTCAATGACCACTCCGTCTCCCCTAACTGTCTGTCATCTCCTCAGGGTCACCTCATGCTGGAACCCACCACAGGGCCAGCTGTGGTTTCCATGGAGGTGCCAAGGAGATGTGGGGCTAAACAAGGACCGAGGGAACCTAATATGACAGCCACCACCACACACGGCAGCTCACTTGGACACCTGAGCCAGGCACCTGGCTCTCTGCCTGTATCATCCCATTCAACATCATACAAGCTCCCAGGGAGTCTTGCAACCAAAAGGGAAACTGAGGCTCCAGGGATGGGCCCAAGGTCACCCACGCTGAAGAGTGGCAGAGCAGGACTTGAACCTGGGACTCTGGGGCAGCCTGACTCACCCCCGGGGCTGGGCTGTGCCAGTGGTGGCTCACTAACACGGCGCTCCCCAGAGGCACCTGAAGGCAGAGGATCAGGCCACAGCATCTTCCCTGGATGACCTTGTGGGAATAGCAGGGGGACAGGGACAGATGTGGCTCCAGCCAGAAGGGCAGGGACTTGGGTCCACATCTGTATCTACCCCAGTGCCTACAGTAGTGTCTGGAAATACACACTTGTTGAATGAATGAATGAATGAATGAGTAGTGACCAGTCGGCACCTGTGGGGGCATTATCAGAGTTTTGGTGAAGGAGCCAGAAGGCCACTGGGCGGGTCACTCTCTCCCCTGCCCAGGCCCCAGCCTGGTTTCCCTGGGCAGCCAGAGCCGGCGGGAGGCGCAAGCCCCCAGGCGCTCAGGCCCCTCCTCCTCCCTCCTTGGCCAAGTTCTGTCCCTTCTTCGTTCACCCCACTGTCCACCTCTGGGCTTGTCCACATCTGCAGACACTTTTCCGGCCTTCCTCACGCCCACAGCTGGGCAGGACAGCAGCTGTCTGGGTTTGTGCTCATCCACGAGCCCCAGGGCCTCTCCAGGGGGGCCCTGGGAACGCCTTCTCCCTGGGCTCCGAGCCTTCCCCTGAGGGCTGAGCTGTCCGCACTCAGGGCGGGGAGAGCAGAGCTCCCTCTCTGGGCAGAGCGGGGCCACCAGGGCACTCCACGTGTCACACGCAACCGCCACCGCCCAGGCAGGCGGTCTGCCCCTGCTGTGCCCCCAGCCCTGCTCCTGGCACTGAGGTGCAGGAGGGACCGATCGGTAGTCAGCTCCTAACTAGGTGATGTGATGCTGAGAGGTGCTGAGTGGTATAAACAGCCACCGAAAGAGCCGAGAGCAGGGAAGGGCACCTCACTGAGGAGGTTACAGTGGAACAGTCTCTCTGA